AAGGGCAGGGTATCATCAAATTCGAGTCTTACCTCAAGATATCCCAAAAACTGCATTTAGGACTCATGAGGGATACTATGAGTTCCTAGTGATGCCATTTGGATTAACAAACGCTCCAGCAACTTTCCAAGCCGTGATGAACCATTTGTTTAAGCCTTATTTACGAAAGTTCATCATAGTTTTCTTTGATGATATTCTGGTTTTCAGCAAGACAATGGAAGAGCATGTGTTGCATTTGGAGATTGCCTTAGATTGTCTACTGATGCACAAGTTTTTTGTGAAGGCTTCGAAATGCTCATTTGGTGTTACTTCCATTGAATACTTGGGACATGTGGTCTCTGCTCAAGGAGTACATGCGGATGTAAAAAAGATCCAAACTATGGTTGATTGGCCTATACCCAGCAATGTGAAACAACTTAGGGGGTTTCTTGGGTTAACAGGCTACTATAGGCGGTTTGTAAGGAGCTATGCCATGATAGCACAACCTCTAACAGATCTGCTTAGAACATCTGTGGAGTTTCTTTGGAGTGATGCTGCTATAACAGCTTTTCAGTGTCTCAAGGATGCTATGGTTCAAATCCCAGTCCTCACCTTACCTGACTTCACAAGGTCATTTGTTATTGAGACAGATGCTTCAATTACTGGTATAGGGGCAGTATTGTTGCAAGGTGACAGACCCTTGACCTTTTTCAGTAAAATGATTTCTCCAAGGATGGCAGCTTTTTCAACATACGTGAGGGAATTATATGCAATCACATCTGCCGTTAAGAAGTGGAGGCAGTACCAATTAGTGTAACACCCTCCCTTGTATGCATTCAAGAGAGTTGTTTGCTAAGCGGAATTAGAGTTCTTGACGTCATTACTTTGCTACTGAAGAATCATTTTGATGTTGCTAATTAAAACTTATAATTGAAATCGAGTCACTTACAAAAATCAGAGTGCACTTTCAAAATTTCTTAACTTGCTGAAAATATTATTTTCCTGGCATACGTTGCTGTCTTGAAAAATTAGTATAAAATCAAGTTCAACGATTCAAAAAAATCTTCTTTGTCATTTAGAAACTAGACATCGGGGGCTTCGCGTGCATATGAATTATACGCGCATTGGAGTAGAATAGCCCCATGAAATAGAACTCGTAAAGTACTCAAAACTCAGTGTATTTTTTTTAGAAAACTCCTGACTAGTAAAAATCATAATAATTCGAGTTTTCAAAATTTCATTGGAAGGTTTACATAATATGAACGTACACAACTGAAGCTTTTCATACATATAAAATATACCTCATTTGGAGGTCTGTAGCCCCAGAACGACAACTCGCAAGGTGCTCGCAAAAGTGGTTTAAAAATCAGCAATTAATGAATATTCAGAAAAATATAATTCGCAAAACGTTTTCAGAATTTACTCAAAGCACTAACTGATCATAAAAATCTTAAGATAACAATAAAATCATAGTTCAACAGTTAATCTAAGCTTCTCAAACTAATACAACCATCTATAAAATAAAACAGCAACAACAGCAAGTCCAAACAGCAGAATTTAACAACAAAGATCCAAATAATCCATGTCCTCATATGCTTTTGCGTCCTCCTGCCATTTTATAAAAATAGCAGCCCCAAAGGGGTGAGAAAAATCCCAGTAGTGTGATAGCAAAACCAATAATGCAACAATATTAGACTAGGCACAAAATTATAAACAGTCAAATCAACATTTCATTTTCCGTTACATATCATAGTGCGTATTTAACGCCTTCATTACGCTCATAGCACCTTCGTGCGCGTACTAACATTTCGTAGTGCGTATATAACGCCATCATTACGCTCATAGCACCGTCGTGCGCGTACATACACAGTGGTTTGTTATAAAAACAGACCACAAGAGCCTTAAGGAGTTGCTTATTCAAACAGTACAGACCTCAGAGCAACAGAAGTACCTTTGTAAGTTGTTGGGTTACTCTTTTTCCATTGAGTACAAAGCTGGAATTAACAATGTGGTGGCTGATGCCTTGTCAAGAGTACATGAACATGGCATGGTGAATGCTCTTTTGTCAGAACCTGTTTTTGATATTTTGCAAGAGATAAAGGTACAGAATAAAGAGGACGCTTATTTGCTGCAGTATCATGAGAAGTTGCGTAGTAACTCCAATACTGATGACAGTTTGACTGTGAAGGATGGAATTTAATTCCACAAAAACCGGTTCTTCCTTAGTTCAACTTCCTCCTTGCTTCCAAAATTGATCCAGGAGGCACATTCCTCTCCAATTGGAGGACATGCAGGTGTGTTACGAACATTTTTAAGACTTTCAGCTTCGTTTTTTTGGAATTCCATGAGACATGATGTGAAGGAATTTGTTAAGCAATGCCATGTTTGCCAACAAGTTAAATATGACACTTCTAAGCCTAGTGGTTTGTTGCAACCGTTAGCTGTCCCAGAAGGCATATTTGAAGATTTGTCAATGGACTTTATTATTGGCTTATCCTTTTCTAAGGGGTACTCAGCTATTGTAGTCATTGTGGATAGGCTATCCAAATTTGCTTATTTTGGTCCCTTGCCTCGAGCTTTTACAGCTGCTGTGGTGGCAAAGTTGTTTTGTGAGTTGGTGGTGTACACGCATGGGTTCCCTCGCTCCATAGTCACATATAGAGATCCTATCTTTGTCAGTGGCTTCTGGTCTCAGTTATTCAAGTCGAGTGGAACTAAATTGCACACTAGTACAGCTTACCACCCTCAATCGGATGGCCAGACTGAGGTCACTAACCGATACTTGGAGCAATACTTGCGGTCTTTTTGTCATGAGAAACCGCAGGAATGGGTTGGATTGCTTGGTTGGGCTCAATTCCATTATAACTCCAGTGTGCATTCCAGTATTGGCATGAGCCCATTTGAGGCTGTGTTTGGCAAGAAACCGGTCCAAATTCCTTCCCTTCCGCGGGGATTAATCAAGGTGGAGGCAGTGGAATTCTTATTGGTACAAAGGGATGAGATTTTGTCTCGGTTGAAGGTTCAGCTGCAACAAGCTCGTAATCGAATGAAGCTCCGGTTTGATAAGCACAGGAAAGAGCGTTCCTTTGCGGTTGGAGAGTTGGTTTGGGTTAAACTTCAACCTTATCGGCAACTTAGTGTGGAGAGAAGAGCTAGTCATAAGCTTGCTAAACGGTATTTTGGACCCTATCCCATCGAGGAGAAAATTGGCAGTGTTGCTTATCGACTTGAATTGCCACCTAATTGTCAAATTCATTCCACTTTCCATGTTTCCTTGCTCAAACCGTTTAGAGGCAGCTTGGATGTGCAACCCTTGCTTTTACCTGCAGCAGCTGTTGCCAACAAGCCAGTGCAGACTCCATTAGCCGTACTTTCTGTTCGGTTAGTAGCCAAGAAGGGCGTTCCTCATCGGCAATTTTTGGTTCAGTGGACATCTGCTATACCAGAAGACTCTTCCTGGGAGTCAGAGGAAGATCTACGTCGCTGTTATCCTGCTTTGAACCTTGAGGACAAGGTTGTTTTTGAGGAGGAGGGTATTGTTACGCAAAGAGTATCCAAGAGAGTGAGGCAACACTCTGTGAAACTCAAGGACTTTGTAGCTTGAGTGTATGTTCAGTTAGTAGGATGGTTAATAGTCGAGTTAATTAACTGTCAGTTGGGAAGTGGGTTAGTTAGTTAAACTGGTTGTATAAATAGAATTTCTCTTGTAAAGAATAATCACTTCAGATAATACAAATTCTTGATTTCTCTTCAATTTTCCATTTCTCTGTTAGGACATTCCTAACAGTTGTGGTGATTTGCTAACAGCAGAATTATGGGGCTTCCACTTGGGATTGCTTCTATCTTGGAGGAGTGGTGTGGATTGAAGGGGATTCAATGGTGGCAGTAAATCTGAATCAGGAAAGGATGTGAACCAAGCCATCCACTGTTCCCATTAGTCTGGCAGATTCGTAGTAGCATACAACGAGACTGGCTAGTTCATAACTCCCATGTTTATAGAGAAGAAACCAGGCTGCAGGCTGGCTAGCTTCTCAAATCTGTAACCAAGATTATGGACTACATGAGTGGAATGATCCCCCTCCAGGGTGCTTAAACATTCTTTGTAACGATGCTAGGGGATTAAGTATCCCAAGATTATGTCCTAGGTAATCTTGTGTCTTTTCTTTACATTCCTACAGTATCAATAAAAAAAAAAAAAGTATCAGCAAAGTAAAGCTACCCAATCTCTCAAAATTTTTGCAAGAGAAACCCCTTTAAAAGGAGCATGGATTTTACACATGTAAAGAACTATTTCAAGTTTTCAACCCAAAAAACTTAAGTTGTTAGGTGAAGGTTATATTAAGGGCTTTATATCATACTTCTCTGACATGTCCCTTCATACAAGAGTTCATAGGACTTGAAAGGTGGACAATACAAAGGTTCACCTACTTATACTAAGAATCTCCACAATATTTAATTTTTAATTTTAAGAATAGGAGGCGGTGAGGTTTTGACATTATATAAAAAATCATTTCAACACACAAGCATAAGCTTTTAGTGAATGTCACATTAATGGTTTTGTATCATACTTCTATAACAAAACCAAGTAGAGACCAAATGGTTAATATTATCACAAATAGTTAGCAGGAATTATGTACAGTACTGCCTTGGTATAAATAGAGGAGTATACTTTATTTCAGGAGATTTTGGAGAAATAATGAGGAGTTAGGCTCAGAGGATGGAATTTCTCTTTTGGAAGACCTGTCTTGGGTTCCTGTTCTTGTAACATCAGTGATCAATGATAATTCATTGTTCTTCTATTTTCTTGTCTTCTTCATGTACTCTTTACAATTCTCGTTCATTTTCTGCATTAATCAAATCCGGAGCTGCAACATTTTCATTGTTCATTTGCGTTATCTGATTTCATGTACTTCTTACCACACGAGTGACTTCATATTGTAGCACATTTGTACATGATATTGACTCTATTGATCTTTAGTCTGATAGTTGTGATATGTTTATGTTTTCCAATTTTATTTTAGGTTCTGCTATTGGATTCAGATTGGATACCCTTCTTAAACTCACTGAGACACGTGCACGGAACAACAAGATAACTCTCATGCATTATCTTTGTAAGGTACATGTTTTTATTTATTCTTGTTGGTTTCTTTTCTCTTTCCTTTTTTTCAAAAAGAAAAAAAGAAAGAAATATTGTCATCTTCTGTGCTCTGATGTCCATTCGGATGTTAAGTTGGGATAATATATTGGATAGCTGTTAGTGTACTTATATATTTGGGAAAGTTTGCATCTTTAATAAATGGTAGTCTTTGATATCATGCTTACCCATAGGTTGTGGCAGATAAACTACCAGAAGTTTTAGACTTCTCCAAGGATCTTGCTAACCTCGAGCCAGCTGCAAAGGTTCTGTACTCCAAGGCTTTTCACTTCATTATGATGATGGACATAGTATATTTATTAGCACTGACATGTATGATTATGATCCAGGTCCAATTGAAGTTTGTGGCAGAGGAGATGCAAGGTATAAACAAAGGATTAGAGAAAGTTGAACATGAACTATCGAACTCTGAAAATGATGGTCCTATATCAGAAACTTTCAGCAAGGTATAAGCATCAAGCCTTTCCAAGCAGCTCAGTCACCAATGATGTCTTTTCTTATGCTTCTGTTGTTTTTTTTAGTTTCACATTCCTTGTTCATTTCCCCTAAGTTTTGGATTTCCAAAAACATTATCCTACATAGTTCATGAATATCTCGTACTTAATTCAATAAGGCCATGTTGAAATAAATGTTGCCTCATAGAGTAATGAACACTGCCTTTTAATGTCCCCACTCTTTTCCATGTGATTGCTGAAAGGGTGGATGATAAGAACCTTGGAATGCACCTTCCCAAAAGCTAGATCAAAGGATGGGAGTGCCCAAGGCCTTATAAACCCCACATTAGTTGCCCCTCATATACACCTTGCTCAATTGGGCCTTACGCAATTGGGCTCTATCAGTGGAGTTACAACCACTTGAGTTTTGTTAATTATGTTCTCTGAAAGAAAATGGAAGTTCACTGAAGAACGATTTCTGATGCTGATGGGGCTTACACTTGGCATTCTCTGTGATTGGTATGAATTTTAAAGTTTTGACGCTAGTTAAAAACAGGAAAATTGAAATGTGCACGCTATTTTTATTAGTTAAAATCTCGAATATCTTAATGTTGCTAGCAAATAAACATGAAGCATGTTTAGGATATGCCGGCATATGATGTTAAGACCCCATATTTGTTCCTTATATGATAATCCTTAATAAATTGTTTTTTTGATAAATTTTCACTTTCGTACTGGTAAATTTTACTTTATTAGAGTTCAATTTTTATTTTTATTTTTCAGAATTTGAAAGAGTACCTCTGTTCTGCGAAAGCCGAAGTCAGTTCGTTGGCTTCACTTTACTCTCTTGTGGTAGGCCTTTGAAGATATATTTTATAATCTGTATAGAACATGAATGGCTGTGCTTTACTTGGACAGTCCTACATTTTCAGGGTAGGAATGTGGATGCTTTGATTATTTATTTTGGTGAAGATCCATCACGCTGCCCTTTTGAGCAAGGTGTGTGACTGCTTAGATATAATTTTCTTTTAATTAGCTCTTTCTTGTGTTCAATTTACCCAAATTCTAGTTTTGATAATTATCACAACTTTCCTATTTTATTGGTAGTTTCCAATTTAAATTGTTATTAATATCACGATAATTGAGGCTTTGTTTTAATCATAAGTCAATAATAAGAAAGTCCTTATTAATTGGGAGAGTTTGGAAGTGGTTACTTGTCAAACAAGTTCTTGTGTATTATAAATAATTGTAAAGGATACCTGTTTGGGTTATGAGAATAAGGGAGAAAAAATTGTCAGTAATAGTGGACTAGTGGTACAAAGTTTGCAACTTTGTCAAGAAAGAGTTGCATTGGTTGATGGTTTGTGACTTCGTCCTTACGAAGTTGATGATGTATTTGGTTATTCAATCTCTTCAAATCTGTGGATGTAGATGTGTTGGGTCAAACCACGTTTAATTTATGTCATGTTTTTCTTAATTACAATTATTTAAAGGCATGCGAAGAAGAGGGATGTAGCATTCCTAAAATTTTGTTAGAGCAAATTCTTGAGTGGAATTTTGCTTGTAAAAGAAATAAATTATGGTTTCATTTTGCATGCAAATACTCAGAAGTTTATTTTAAAGTCTGTTAAATTGGAAGGCATGCATGATGCCTTAAAAATTAATCTTCCTTAGTAATGTCAACTTCTAGTTTGATTCCTCTTTCCGGTTCCAAAAGCAGGGAAATCATCACTTTCTTGAGTATACAATAATTATTGTTTGGGGGAAAAATCATTTGCTTTTTTCCTCCTCCTTTTGCAATTTGCTTGACTTATGTTCATAATTTGGGTTAGTGCCACGCATACCAATTTGGATATTTTCATTAAAGTAAATAGTGTCTAGGTTCATTATATAAGTAATTTCCAGATTCATTATATAGGTTAACCTAATCATGTATTTACAATAATTAGTGTATATGATATCTTTGTAATTGTTATTTTTCACTTGCATAAGTTAGTCTTCGTTGCGTAGCCTAATACCTGGATTCTATTAAATGTATCTTGTTTGATCTTTCCTTAACATGATATTTTAGCCTCACGAGAGGTAACCCTAATATGTGCCTGCTCGGAGAACCCACTACCTATCAGGGAATTTTTTTTTTCTTTGAAAAATGTGTCTTGACTACTTTTTTAGTCTCCACTACCTAGTCATCCTTTCGACACCTCGAAACCCTTCTCCAAAGACCTTCCTTCATTGTTCTAATCATTGTCCGCTGCTAGCCAATGCCTTTTCTGGTGGGTGACCCTCGGATCCAATTTGTCTCACACAGCCCAATTTTGGGTTATGGTAACATTCAAAATTCAGCTCTCTTTGTTTCTAAAAAATGTTCTTCATGTTCATCAGCTCTCCACTAATCTTGTCTCCACTTAAAAGCTGACAACTGATTTGAATTGTTATGTCGCCTTTTTTCCTACTCATTGTATTACTCAAGATCTCATCACAGGGAGGACTGTTGGAGTTGCTAAGAAGCAGGATGGGTTGTACTATTTCATCCCAAAGCATGCTACAAGTGATAGCGCCTGGGGCACCCATCATTTAGCCTACTAAAGTGTTGTAAATAATTGTATTTGTTTATTTCTTTATTTATTTCTATTCTAGAATCTTCTTTGGGCTTAGCCCATTAGATTATTTAGTCTCTTTAAATAGAGAGCAATTGTGCAGATGTAATATACAATTTATCAATAATATTATACTTTTTTTATTCAACTTGGTATCAGAGCTCTCGATTCTGAGGGCTCTACTTCTGCAACTGCCGCCTATAAAGCGGAACCCTATTTGTTTACCTTTCACCGCCACCGGAATTTTTTTTTTTCGGGGACTTTTTGGACCGAGAGGATCTTTGTTTGATTCTTTTTCTACCGTGATATTGTTCATCGGGTACTGTTCATCGACTGTGATGTTTATGCCAAAAAAAAAAGGTTCCAAGACAGAACTGCTCGGTTTTGTCTCCTTCTTCCAGATCTCTGTTTTCTCTTCGGTCAGACATCATTTGGATTTGCGTTTGTGTGATTTTCACCTCAACATTATGGCGGGTTCTGTAACATCCCTGTCTCGAGCCGGTTCAATTAACATACATATGATACAAACAGAAACATGCATCAGCGGAAGACTTAACTTAATATCTTGCATTAGCTTACTAAATTACAAGCTAACCTTTTCCCTTATTCTTCATTTCGTTTCACATGATATATATACTACATACTTCTTCTAGTGTACTTTTCATTTGACGGAGACGAAAATCGGACAAATGGGGATTAAATCCCACTCTCTTAATCTATACCTGATATATGGTCCAACAACGAACCTAATACCCATCCATGGGCGCATGCATAACTGGCTCCATGCCACTATGTCTAACAGCATACATAACTCAGCACGTGCATATATCTGAACCCTCTAGCCACGGTAATGTCCTTGTCCCGTAAGGCTCTCTAGTTAACTGTTTCCTGAAATCATATTCCCCAAACGGGGTTAGAGACGAATCTCTAGTAAGCTCCAGGTTTATAGAGAACTCTCCATACCCTGGGCTCACTTCCTGCATGACAGTCAGATACATAATATACAAAACATCATATATCATACTATACTGAACATATCTCATATAACATATCATGTAATCCAATATTATAACTAAACAAAGCATATACACAAATCTTATCAGAGACGTACGCAGTCATTCCCAAGGGATGACCCCAAGCGAAAATCAACGCACGTAACAAATATCTTTTACAAAAATCATCACAATACTCACATCAGAACAAAACATGTATCTCAGAACGTACGCAATCATTCCCAAGGGATGACCCCAAGCGGAAATCAACGTACGTAACAAATATCCTTTACAAAAACATTACAATAATCAAATCAAAACAAAACAAATCATATCAGAGGTGTACATAGTAATTCCCAAGGGATTACCCCAAACGGAAATCCACGTACGTGTTCCCAAGGGAGGACCCCAAGCGGAACCAGAAAATATCGGAGGCGTACACCGTCAATCTCAGGGGAAACCCTAAGAAGACATCAGTGCACATAGGATCAATGGCCAGATATCACACAATCAATCCCAAGGGAGGACCCTGAGCGAAAATCAGTGCACATGTTTCCAAGGGAGGACCCCAAGCGGAACTCAACATATAACAGACATATACACAGTCAGTCCCAAGGGAGGACCCCAAGCGGACATCAGTGCATAAACAAATCAATGTCCAGAAATCATTACAGAAATCATATCGAAAGATATCAAAGTAAACACATCAAAACATATCAAATTAAACACATCAAAACATATCATATCGCATCATCATATAGCTCTATATGAATGCATCTATATCATATATCTCATACATATCATACAACCTGACCACAATCCGTACACTATGGCAGAACACAAAATAGGAGCGAACCCCATAAACATAGAGCTTACCTCTCGAAGCTATATAGATGGCCTACCCTGACAAACGAGTTACCAAGCCTCCTCTGATGTAGGATCCTCAACAAGATTCTTCGGCACATCTAAAATAAGAATCCACACAAATATCAATAAAATGGTTCAAAGTCAAGTAATCAACTAGACATACCATTTATTGATTTCATCTTTTCTTTATCAAATATTTCTTAAATATTCATACATACAGAATTGTTCATCTCTACGGTACTATTCATGTATACGTTACTATTCACGTATACGGTACTAGTTATATATGTCACTATTCAAAAGTACGGTATCTCAATTTTTTCAAAATACATTTTCTCCGTTAAAATCTTCATCTGAACACTTTTCTCAACATGAGTCAAGCCTCAATCAAGCTCTAACATGCTCAATCAAACCAAACTTTCAAAATGAAAACTTAAATTCAATCTTCCTCAAAACTCAAAGAAAACCAGGATTTCTCAACATAAATTTACCTAGAACGAAGGGGATGGCTTACTTCAAGCTCCCATGGCTTCAAGCTCCTTCAAAATCTCCCCTTTCAAAGAAATCCGAATTTTAGAGGAAGAAGATCTCTCTCTACAGTGAAACTCATCCAGAAATACTGGTACCAGTGGATTCTTCTCGAAATTTCTCATAAGTTTGGCTTTGGAACGAAGTGATTTGGAGGTCTCTAACTCAAGTTATGAGCCATGGAAGATTTGAGTTCAAAAACCCATTCTCTTCTCTCCCTCTCTGTCGACGGCGTGAAGAAAGAAGAAGGAACAGTGCATTGTTTTGAAATTTAACTTATATAGGTCAAGTTAAATTCAACTAGGTAAAAGTTTATCTATCTACACACCCCCATTCATTACTAAACTTTACCAAATGGACTAGAATATTTTTCTAGTCATATTTTTAACTTTACTTTCACTTTTCGAGTAAATTTGTTTATCCGCATTTTTACCCCTTAACTGCCATTTTAACTCATTTTTCACTTAAGGTGACTTTATTTCTTTTACTTCTAATTATTCTTCAAAATTAAATCCACAACTACTAGTGAGGGTTATTATAGGTTCAAATGGTGCATCTTCGAAATTTATTTCTATTCGCCGAGATGAGTTGGAGCAGATTCAGACTATTCTTGATTCTCTGAGTAAGCCATCTAGTACTAGTGCTTTGGCTATGACTGGTATGAGCTCCGCTACTCATTCTTTTCTTACTTTTTGTATTGATTTTAAACATTCTTGGATTATCGATTCTAGTGCTACTGATCATATGGCTTGTTGTGCTGACTCCTTTCTTTCTTACAACCCTACTATTGGCAACCATACAATAGTCGTAGCTGATGGCTCACGCACATCAGTTGCGGGTTCTAGTAACATATATTTACAGCCTTCCTTACATCTCCAAAATGCTCTTTATATTCCCAAACTCTTCACTAATCTTCTTTTTATCCATAAAATTACCAAAGATTTAAATTGCACTGTAACTTTCTTCCCTACTCACTGTGTTTTTCAGGATCTCGTCACGGGGAAGACGATTGGGG